AAGGAAGAGAGCGTAGACCCGCAAGTCAAAAGTAAAAGGCGCTGTGAGTTCCCGAAATTTTTCTCATCCTCCAATTTGCCCTAAGTGGTGTTTTTTCTTATATTTTAATAGCCCATTACATTAATTTTATACAACCCTATATAACGTATTGGGCCTTAGACATATACATATATGTTATAGAGCCCTATGGTAATTTATTGGGCCTTTACCGTATACATAGATGTCATATAACTGCATCTTGGTGCCCCTTCCTTCAATTCGGCCCTGGGCCGTCGCCCAAGTCGTCCTGGGCCTGGGCCGGGTCTGGGGCTTGACACGATAAGGCTCGACAAAATAATTTATATATATATTTCTGTAGTTCAACTCGTTAAAACTGATCAACTCCTTTTAAACTCGAATTTTTAACTCGTTAATATTAACGAGTCGAGTTTGAGTTTGATTTTTGACTCGTTTACTTAACGATCGAGTCGGACTCGGTACGTCAAGTGCTCGAGCTTAGCACTCGGTTCGGCTCATCTAAAGCCCTAATTATGTAGAAGTTTCTATTATTCCTAGCATAATTCTTGTAAATTTGTGATTGACTGACAAATGACCATAAGTAATAGAAATAAACAAATAAAATAAAGCACAAGTGGACAAAATAGATGTATTCCTTCAAATTTTCTCCCCCACTTGGAGTGGGCGGGGGTCACATAATAAAGCAAGCCAACACAAACAACCGCCAAACACAAGTAGCTTTCTTGCTTTTAAGACCAAACTCCTCGAAAGTAACCTATTTTCCCTTCTCTCTTTCTCTCTCAAGAACACACACAACCCCTTTGCCTTTTCTCTCTCTTCATTTATCTCTCTCTCCACATTATTTTCTGCAATGGATACTGCTCAGTGGCCACAGGTAAAGTAGTAAAGCTAAAAAACATATAGCTTTTGTCTAATCTCCTTCTCCACATAATATCATGAGAAAACCTTTCTCTTTCTCTTTCTTTCTTTCTTTTTATTTTTTCTAGGGCTAATTTATCTGTCTTTGATGTTCTTTTTGCTTTGGGTTTGTGGAAGAGAAAAAAAAAAATGAAAAAAGAAGATGAAAACTCTTTGGCCCCTTTTGCTTTGCTTTAATTTATCTTGATGACCATTGATCTAAAGGTGATGTAGCTTTTATATGAGATGATCTAATCAAAATCCCACTTTTGGTAACTTTTTTCTTGCATGCTTTCATCTCAATGTTTTCATCTCTTATTTTCTTCATCTCTCTTTCACATTGAATCAACAAACGGGAAAGCTTTGATCCTAATTGGATTTTTCACAGTTATCTAGTTTTTGTTTTTTACTCCTAATTCAAACGGTGAAAAAGCTCCCTGAAAATTGAAATCTACTCAACAAAACAAAATTCTTTATTTATTTATTTTTATTATTAGTTCTTGTGCTCTTGCTTGCTACTACTTGCACTTTTAGCTCTTAAAATTTCTTGTTTAAACTTAATCACACTTTCACTTTTTTTTTTTCTCAATCAATTTTTCCCCTTNTTCCTTTGTGCACTTATTTGCTACTTCTTGCACCCTTCTTTACAATTTCTTGTGCAAAACTAATCTCATTTTCACAATTCTTTCACTCAATCATTTTCTCCCCTTAATTTTATAAATTTTTTTAATTTTTTTCTTAGGGTATTGGAGATATCACAAAACAAGCTGAAAAAAAACCAAGGCCCCAAAAGGATCAAGCTATCAACTGCCCAAGATGCAGCTCAACGAACACCAAATTCTGTTATTACAACAATTACAGCCTCTCACAACCCAGATATTTCTGCAAGACCTGCAGAAGGTACTGGACTCAAGGCGGCTCCCTGAGAAATGTTCCAGTGGGTGGCGGCTCACGGAAGAACAAAAGACCCTCATCATCTTCTTCTTCTTCTTACGCTTCGCCATCATCCTTACTGCCCTCAGCCAAGAAAGGACCTTCATCAACTGGGCCGGAAAATCTGGGCCCAAATAACTTCTCGGTTCAAAACCCTAGTTTGGTCCACGAGGGACATGATTTGAATCTGGCGTACAATCCAGCTGGATATAGTATGGGCTTCTCGGATTTTGCTACCGCTTTTGATCCTCAAAACCCTAGCTATCAGCTGCCGGTCATGGAGCTTCTGAAGGCAGGGAGTTTTGTGGGCCCGAACCCGGTTTACGACCCGTCGGGCGGGTTTAATGGGTTTAGGCAGAATCTAGGGTTTTCGGGTGATGGGCTTGGGATTAATGGGCTTGGTGGGCCTGGTGGCTATCATCATGCAGATAATGGGTCGTCGAGGAATTTCATTTTTCCTTTTGGGGATCATTTGAAGCAAGGTGTTGTTAATGGGGATGGGGGATTTGATGAGCATGGCAAAGGTGAAACAGATGGTTTTTATGGGGTGAAAAGGGTATAGTGAATAAATAAATTACTAGTATATAATTAATTAATCAATTAANGTTTTTCATGGGCATGGTATGATCATAATTCATAACTAACAGAATACATATGTTTGCACATGATGTTTTTTAATTCCTCTTTATGTTTTTGGCTGATTTTTTTTCCCTTTTCATAGCTTGCTTCTTTGGTTTGTTGTTGTTGTGCTGGTTTGGAGGATCTTGGCTTGTCAAAAAAAATGAAATTGAACTTCTGCTTCTTTTAGTCAGGAATAGTTGTGAAGGCTAATTTAATAAATCTTCCATTATTTGGTAATTAATTAGCATTTTAGGGTTAATAGTTAGATGTTTGAAGTGAACTTGATCCGTCAAAATTTTAATTGAATTATTTTTGTAATTGAGTTATTTAGTAAGTAATGATAAAATATCTTTTCAAATCTAAAAATATAATTTCAAATAAGTATAATAATATAAGAAATTTTTAGATATAAAATTGGTTTTTTTTGTGTTATTAAAAAAAAACTAATTATTTACATGAATGGCTCTAGCTTTCTTCAAGGGTCACAATAATGATCAAACAATAGAATCACGAGTTAAGTACTCCAAGAAAGATTTTGTTGTACTTGTTCTTATTTCATTTTCAATTTTTGCTAAATAATATAATACTAATACATTTTGTAGTGCCTCCAATGTGGAGTTTAATAGTGCTAAATGATTTAGTGGGATTGATGATTCATAAAACCAAGATACACATAGTTTTATGCATTAGTTTATTCTTTTGTTCCTAAAGTAAGCTGCAGTATTGGCTGGATCAATCCTTAATGACTAATCTCCCACTTCAATGTTATTAGTATTGTTAACTTGTTATTCTCTTTTGCTTTGTCAAATTTGTTTATTTATTTTTATTGGCTGACAAGAATGAAGACTGTCAGGTATTAAGATTCTCCCCAACTGTTAAAGCATAGAGAGTAAATTAAAGTAGGATTTGCAATCAGATTTTCAGAAATATATGTAGAATTTATAGATACAAATAACAAAGTATTGTTCCATGAGTCATGTATCCAACTTTACAGCGCATGGGAAGCACTATTGCACAATATATCCACTTGTTACCAAGTTAAGTAAATCATCATTTTTTTTTTAACAAAAATATAATTGGAGAAAATAAAAATCTTTATTAATAATCCGGCCCATAGTTAGTACCAGTTGAATATATATAGTTTTAATTTTTAACAATTAATAGTACAAATATTGATATTGCTATTAGTCATCCTAAAGTTGAACGATTTTATAGTTTAAATTGCACCTCCTCTTGTATGTAGGTATAATTCACTTTGTTAAGAAGACAAAATTTTCAAAAAACAAACAAACAAGACAACAAAACTTGAAATCAAACAAAAAAGATTTTGATTAAAATTATGGTTCCCAAATCCACCCATAAAGACAAAATCACCTGGTGATAGAAAAATTTCCCATGTCTAAATTGACTTAACTATGTGATGTCATTATTATTTGTCACATGTAACAAGTCCATTATTTAATCAAGAATATTTTGGATTGGTCTACTTCATGACTTTAGGTGTGAAGTGCCATGACTTGTTAAGGTGTGAATAGAGTCACAATGCTTCATTCAAATGTATGTGAAAATTATGTAAAATTTGATAATCATTTTTATCAATATTTACTGCATGTGACAATTGTGTTGTAGTCAACAAGCACATGATTATAATTTGAAGGGTTGCTAATTTTTGTCAAGATTTTGAAATTCAATGTGATGACTATTAATTAGTATCATAATTTCTTTTTTCTCCCACATGTTACTTTTATTATAAAAAATCACCCTCAAGCTACTATCTCTTGTGCACATTGTTCATTATATTTATTAATTACATTTAGGATGTTAATGAATTGAACGTTGTTGAACAAACAAACGCTCATTCGTGTTCAACATAAACTCGTTTTATAATCAAGCGAACACAAGTTTGTTCGCAAACGTTTAATAATATTTGCGAAAATCATAATATGATTTTATTTTATTTTTATTTATATATATGATATTTTTAGTAAAAATATAAAATATTAAAATAATTCTATTCTTTGTTTTAAAGTTCGAACAAATAACTTCGAGTTAATCAAATAAGTATAAAAAAACGAACTGAAATATTGACGAATAATTATACAAACGAGCTTGAACACGATATCTTTGCTCCAAACTGTCGAACGAATACATCTGGACATAATCAAACACAAGTCCGAAATGCTAAGCTCATGTGGTTCGATTGGATTACAAATACTAATCACATTAATTTATCATTATACTCAAATGATATTTCATAGAGAAAATTAAATAGAAAAATTGAAGGGATACATATTCATTAGCACACAAGCTAAGGGAATTTTAATATTGACCCGACAACATGTGAAGACGTAGCAAACCTAAGTTGACTCACGTTCCTCCATGAATGATAGTACTGTTCTGGGAAGGAAGGAATGTGTGGGCCCCACAGACATTCTCTTATCCGGCAAGCGTGCTCTTTTCATGGGTCCCACAGCCCATCAAATGCTGGGCCCCACCACCGGCCACCATTATTCCGCTTCGCATTATATTTCCACTTTTACACAAATGGTTTGCTCTATTTTTATTTATTTCGTTTTACTTATTTTGGTGTTTATTTATTGAGCTGACGGTGTAAGAACTAAGAAATATAGCTGCTCACACGCACTGATGGTGTGGGGACCATCAAAGAATGTAATGGTATTTTAGACATATTTAGTTAAACATAAAGTTTTTACTTAACTGTCTAATTGTTATGTTATATTTTATAAAAAAATACATATTTATATTATTAAATGTTATACTTCTGGTTATATATTTTTTTTAAAATAACATTTTTGAACTTTTAACTTAGCTCAGTTCATTAAGATTTGAGTTTGTCCAGCTAATATTGATAAAAGAATTGAGCTCGAGCTTGCTTACCAGCTCTATTTGATAAAAGTTTGAAATTAAGTATCAAAAATTAATTATATAAAAAGTAGAAGAATTAAAATAATTCAAATAACATGATTACATAAATGATTTCAAATTAATAATTTTTCTCTCCCCGTCAAATAACATATTTTTGGAGAAGAGAAATGAGTGAGGTGAGGAATTGTGGCGGGTTAAAATTTCTCAAACCTCTAATAGACTTGTGATTGTGTTATCTATTCATTTATCGAGTTAAACGTGATGAGTGTGCATATTGGATAATTTAACGGCACAAATGAGATCAAAACAGGTTCAACTATTGTAAACTTCTGTACAACAAAAACAAAATGCTCATAATTTATGTAAATTGTGATGACAAAAGCCCTGTTTTAAAACAATTTAACAGCACAAATGAGATAGAGCGGGTTCAGCTATTGTAAATTTCTNAAAAATGCTCATAATTTATGTAAATGGTGATGTCAAAAGCCCTGTTTCATAATAATTTTACAGCACAAATGAGATCAAAAACAGGTTCAACTATTGTAAACTTAAGTACAACCAAAACAAAATGCTCATAACTTACATAAATGGTGGTGTCAAAAGCTCTATTTTATAATGACTTCAGTAAAGATCAATCGAATCAAGCAACTTCCGGGCTTGAAAATGCAAAGTCGTAAGTCTTTGCTCGTGATTTAGGGTTGATCCCAGTTGAGTTGCTACCCATGTTAAGGAAGCAGATTTTTCACCCAGCAATCTCCTCACATCTTCGTGTATTGTCATCATTGAAGGTTTTTCCCTTACATTTGCATGTCCAAATAGAAGTAACAGAAATTCACCACATTTCAACCTGATTGAATTTGGAATATATTGAGGCGAGTGTTTTCAATGATTAAATTTAGTACAAAGTTTTTTGATACATGAAACCTTAGATTTTCCTCTGTTTGTTTATCTCTAATTAGATGAGCAACTTCTTCAATGCCATTGCATATCTCGAAATCCTGGCACAAAATTAAGTTTCAGACATCAACTTGATCGAGCAACTATATCAAATAATCTCGCGTGTAGAAATACAAAAAGTATCCCATGCACCTAATGAAAAGAGAAACGGATCTTGATCTCAGTATGTTTTTTTCAATAATATGAGAAGGACAATCAAACATCAACAATGAGAATGAATAAAAATCAAACAACATTTATAGATGTGAGAACAAGTCAGCATTGAATATAGAACTAACCCAACATAGTTTGCTCAAACAAGTTTTCTCGTGTGCTGTTCTTACTGCTGATATTTAGTTTAAGAAACTCTTTCAGTAATTTGCTATAACATGCTAAAACCTACCATTTGATTGGAGCATGAATCCAGCATAGTTGCAATTAAAGCATCAAGGCATGCACCTTGCTCGAGTACTCCACGGGTTGCCAAAATATCCATCAACACCTGCCATATGCAAATGCAAAATCTCACACTGGCAATAGCATCCAGAACTTGTAACAACCAAATCGTATCATTAAAACTCATCACAGAACTAAAAAAATGCAATCCAAAAAAAGTTTTTCAAATGGTCATAGCATCAATGAACCAGTACTAATAATTCCTGACAAAGAATCCCCAACCTTTTCACTTCAATTAATTCCCACGTTAATCGAGAGAAAAAAGAAGCAAAAAATGAGTTTTGGGTTCACATACGGTAACTGCATTGTGCTGACGAGCCAAGTTTGTGCTATCCCGATGAAGAAGACAGCACCCTTCAAGAACTCGTAGAGCAAGAGACACCTCAGCATCAGTGGCAGGACTAGCTGTCTTCATAGGTTCCACGGTAAATATGTGGTTCAGATCAGTCGCAAGCAGTTCTTCTGCCTCTTTAAGGGAGTGTTGAAACAGAACAGGCACAACTGTTATACAAGAAGAGCAAATCGTATTCCAAATTAAACAAAATGATAAAAATCTATAGATCTTTTAATTTACAAGTCCAAGTCCCCATACATATTTGGATGATAATAGAAGTTGGAGGATTTCAAATTCAACCAAGATAGATTTTAGTCATTATTTTGAAGTATTTTAAATGACTCCTTAAACCTAGTCATTTGAACTCCACTTTTATCCGCGAGTATGACTCTTCCTTTAGATTCACCACCACCACGAGTCAATACCGTCGATGATGCGAGCTGGACAATGGATTTATAATCCTTTCCACAAATCCATTCAACGAGTTTGATAGTAGAAAATTTGTATTTCAGAAAATTCGAAATCAAGGGATTTCAAATCCATCCATCCAAACATAGCCTAAGAGTTTCCGAAGCTCAATTACTCAAACAGATATAGTTCAGCAGACAAAAGGAGCTCTGCTCAGGTGAATGAGTGCAACAAATTATTGTCGATATCAAATATCCCACTAAGTGAGTTGCACTTGCGTTCGATTTGAGCCTTGTTGTTTAGTTTCCAAAGAAAAAAACCACATCTTAGAGAGGGAGTTCCTCCATGACGAATTTAAACTAAGCCGAACCAGGTTACTAATACCAAACACATATACTTCAACAGACAAAAAAAGCTTTGTGCGAACGAATGAGTGTAACAAATTACTGTTGATATCAAAATCCCACTAAGTGAATTGCACTTGCATTCGGTTTGAACCTTGGTGTTTAGTTTCAGTTTTCCAAAGAAACAAAATACACCTTAGAGAGGAAGTTAACTAAACTCCAACAAGATTACCGATATCAAACACATATAGTTCAACACACAGAAGAAGCTTCACACTATCAAATGAGTGTAACAAATTATTGTTGATATCAAAATCCCTCTAAGTGAGCTGCATTGACATCAAAATACTTCAACAGACAAAAACAGCTTTGTGCGAACAAATGAGTGTAACAAATTACTGTTGATATCAAAATCCCACTAAGTGAATTGCACTTGCATTCGGTTTGAACCTTGGTGTTTAGTTTCAGTTTTCCAAAGAAACAAAATACACCTTAGAGAGGAAGTTAACTAAACTCCAACAAGATTACCGATATCAAACACATATAGTTCAACACACAGAAGAAGCTTCACACTATCAAATGAGTGTAACAAATTATTGTTGATATCAAAGTCCCTCTAAGTGAGCTGCATTTTGCATTGACATCAAAATACCAGCTAAAGATTTTATTACACAGCATAAAAAGCTTTCAATTGTATAGCCATTTTTACATACAATGATTGCTAAACAATCAATAATCACTCTCCAGCTTTCAATATAATCTAAAAAATTAATAATTAACAAAATTGAACAAACATCCCACCGGCAAATTTCCATAACTAAAGAGGAAAAAAGCCGAAAATTTCCGAATCATACCTACCTTGGAGCTTGGGAATTGATTGAGAGTGGCAAAAGAGATCAATCGTATCTTCCGATTGGGCAACGGACTGGAGGAACTTGAGAAGACTACGAAGCCCGCGAATACGTAGGAATGAGAACTCGGCTCGGGCCTCGCGGAGCCCGGCCCGGATCGCGAGGGTCAACTCGCGATACAATCTCTGCCTGTCGAGCGATTTGATCGGCTCAAAAACCGGCGACGGCGTATCGGCTTCCGGTGAGGAGTCGCTCCAGAGCGCCTTTTTCAGGTACATTTCGGATTTCTTTTAATTTTGGGTTTTCTTTCTTTGTCACACGCTTTTATCTAAATTATCAAGGTTGGGTTAGCAATCATAATTGTTGAATGAAATGAGTCAACCGGGAGTTTAACTCGTTAAAGCTAAAACTTTGATCAACTTGTTTAAAACTCATCTTGTTGCCGAGCTGAGCTATTTTGTGAAGACTCGTTAGTTTTAGCTTGATTTGTTAAAATTAGAATTCAATTTGTTAATATTGATAAATAAATTATACTCCGAGCTTATCTATCGGATCGGCTCAATTTTAAATATTATAATCCCGAACTCGACTCGTTTACAACTTTATATATGATTAGTATAGGATATACCATGACCTTGTTTAATAATTAAGGTTTTAAGTTATAACAAGATGTTGAACTTCCATCAAATTCTTAAATATATAGTAAACATTTAAAATAGTTTAATTTATGTTGGATACACCAAAAATAAATGAAAATATGCATATTATTGTTTGTATAGTCTAACTTGGTAGATTATAATATGCAGATTATAATCATGCACGAGTGGCCGCAGTTTTCGGGTTTGAGGTTCCGATTTGCAGCTTTGTTGCATTTGTATGCTATTGGAAGTGGCTCGTATACGGTCTCGGGTGGCCGGGCGTTGAGTCTGTTAGGTGTAGTTTTAGTTTATTTGTATATTGAGTGTGCGCTTTTATTTGTTTTTCGTGTGTAATTCAATTTGATTCGTTTTATCTCATATGGAGTTTTTTCTTCTTTATGGAGTTTCGTTTTGTTTTTGCGGTTGCCTCTTTGTTGGAGTTGTACATCTTAGATTCATCTGAAATTTCAAGAGGGTAAGTCCAGTTATTTGGTTTCTTGATGTCAGTTGGCATCGCCTTTGTACTCTTTTCCAATTTTCTATTTATATTAGTGTTTGTTGGGGAAAAAAAAATATCATTACCTAGTTAACAATGAATGACATCAATTACTAAAAAATAAAAGAAGAGTTTTTGTTGTTGTAATGTTTGAATAGTGAGATATTTTTTATATGATATTTACTTATCATATTAGATTGATATTGTGTTTGCCTTGCGAAATTTTGTGATTGCTTATATATTGCCTTTAATCTGCAACTATTGCTCAATATTGTTTGTTTTACTACGCATGTTTTTTATTATTAATATGATATCCACCAAAAGATTTTTTTCTATATCTTTGTATAAAAATAATAAATAATTTTTAAATAAGTATTCAAAAAATTAAACTTAAAATTAATATATTTATTATTTTATTACTTTTTCTACATATGTACATAATTTATCCTTGACCAACATCAACCCCACTCAGACATATTTATGTAAGAAAAACAAAGTCTGAAAAGCAACTCATTCATATAGGCCAACCGAACAACTCATTCATATAGTCTGATCTTCCTGTAAGAAATTTATTTTTCTGTCATTTACCACCAACCACCTCCTCCAAATTTATTTAACAACACAAAGATGGAAAACAAAATTACTCGCCCTGCATATTTAACAACACAAAGATGGAAAACAAAATCACAGAGATTCGGGAATTCTGCTTTTGCTGCCATCACCACCATTTTTTATCTTCTTCCCCTTTCTCCTTTTGCTGCCATTCCCAGTTAACAACCCAAAGATGGAAAACAAAATTACTCGGCCTGCAGATAGAAGATATCACACAGATTCGGGAATTCATGATTCGTCAACACTTTCCCGCCAACAAATGCGAAGAAGCAATGCTAGCTGCAGGTATATGTGTATAAATATGTGTATTGGCTTTGTTGTTTTTATTAAACAGTCTCAATTTGTTTTGTACTCTTCCATCTTCCATATTCCGATATGAATCCCGATATGAATCCCGTTAATCCCGTCGTCAATGTTATTACCCGAGTTGTGAACCATTTTGACACAGAGGCTTATGATGGGCTCATACAGGAGTGCATCTAAGTTGCCAGCGATTCACAGCATTTGGGGATGAGTGTACTCCGGCGAGATCCTGCCAACCCACAAGATGTAAGTAACTATTTCGTAGTTAAATTAGTTAGACACGTTAGGAACTCGACCCATGAAATTTATGTTGTCCTGCGGAAGTCCGATTTATACCAACTCGGATTTCGGGGAAGAGTAGATCTGTGGGTCTTTCGAGACGATATTTTTGCTGAACCTTTAATGCGTTCAATTTTTCCTCGCAATCGTGGTAACGAAATCCCATGCAACCTCATCTCTTTCGATCCCTCTTACGTCAACCTCCAACAATTTTCGGGAATTAATCGGTCTAATATTAAATTAGGAGTTGAGGGTACAGCTGCTGCTGTTTCTTCCTTGTTCCTTCTCGAACGTTTGCAGAAGGCCCGAAATAAAATTATTTCCAAAGCGTTTTTAGTTCTCATCCCGTTTATCTCCGAGGCTGCTCGGATAAAAAAATTGAACGAAAAATTGGGAAGAATTGCTCAGCCTGAGTACGGGGTCTATAGAAGTTGCACCCAAACCGGATATGACAAGAGTTGTCAAAACAATTGGGGTGCCATGTCGGATAGGGCAAACAGCTGCAGCAATTTAACGGACCCGTTTTCACCTGTGGTCCAATTGAATGGAGATCCAATTACAGACGGTCATCTCATTGTGGACACAGCAGGAAAAGTAAAGGAGATTCTCCAAACCCTCAAGGCCCCAAGACATGGTAATTATTTCATTGATTTAAACACGTACGTTATATTTAATTATCTCTTATCATCTGCAATTAATGAATCTAGCTCTAATTTTTGTCTTTCATGTTATTACTAGGAGGAGGAGGAGGAGGTCCAGGTAGAAGAAGGTGATCGAATCGGATGAGGATGGATAGATGGATGGATGAGGGTGGAGAGAAGAGAAGAAGACGGTAGTAGTGATTAGTATTATTTAGTGGAAAGAGCTGCCTTTATTGTAGTAATTATGTCCTTTGAATGTTATTGAATTCCTACTACGTATTTAGTCTTTTAGTAAATTTTTATTTCGTTAATTGTTATTTTTAATTATAAAATGGATTGGTATTTCTCTTATTTAATTGGTGCATACCCGAACAAGATTCAAGAGCCAAAAACGAATGTTATGGGTTTTGTTTCATTACTTTGTTAAAAATATAAACTGTTAATATTTGACAATAACTGTACAGATGAACACCCACTTTTATTTCATCTTATGGTATTAGCATCAGTACCATTCTACAAAACTAAAAACATTACGAAATCATTAAATAGGAAAAATGGAGAAGTCCGAGTGACACATATCCTTTTATTCATCTCTGTGGCCACAAATTTAAACTTTTGGTCAAAGAATGTGGCCAGTACGTTCGATTATAAGATGGCACGTATCCTTACGATTAAGTCAAGGATTGAAAAAGTGAGAAACAGTAGCTTGTAAATTTTTAGAGCACATACAATTTCATATTTGAGACACATCATAACCCAATTTATTTATTTATTATTACTTATTTTTTTGTATGTGTGTACACACAATTTGTATTGTAAATAGAAATGCAGAGACCTTTTTTTTTTGGATTAGTTTTTAAATTGCTAAGTAAATTTTTAAATTTTATGGAATTAACTAACATCATGGATTCCTTAATAGACTACTTCGTATATGGAATTCAAGTCACTTGGACGTCATTTCGTGTGTTACAAATGCTACAGAACATATATACATACTGTATAAATACATAATATAAAAATGATGTCGAAGTTTTCTAAAAGTCAATTGACAAAACATATACATTATATACACAATTGTAGTTGGATATTCTCGATGATGTCGTCGAATATTCTCGCCAGAAGGATATTCGCCACGCGTACCCACGGCGATTTTCGAGGTGTTTAGAGTCGTCGTCGGTTGGACATTTTCTCAAATTGGGGATCTCGGCCAGTTTGCAGATTGCGTCATAGTCGATGCTCGATTTTCCTGCGAGCCGAGGCCGAGGGTGTAGGAGCACGATTGCATCTGACTTTTAATTGAGTATTAGATTTTATTTACGGTATCGGAGAGGCGGAGGAGGCTACCCTCGCTGATGTGGCTTACCACCACCGTGTCGTCGGCGAGCTTCCACACCTCCGCCAAGCTGTTCTTCGATGTTTTATGCAGTCGGTTTTATAGTCTGAATTTTTTATTTTTTTTTCTTTTTGTGTGTATGTGTTT